GCAGCCTCTATACTGCCGAACTTAGTTGTGATAAGATTAGATATCACAGCTGGAGCCAATTTCATCATACCCATAACCGTGTTAGCCAACTGTTGGTAGGTACCACAAGTGCCAAGCATCTGTAGCATGTCCATAGTGTTCACAGTTTGGCCCATCTCAGTGACGGTACTCAGAAGAGCGAGGTTGGGGACGACCACCTTCTCCTGCAAAAGATTGGTCTCATCCTTATCGGCAAAGACGAAAGTGTTGGTCTCATTCCAGTGGGCAATACCCTCCTTATTCCACTTATCGACATCAACCGAGGCCTCGATACGCTCTTGAGTCTGAGCAGCGTGAATAGGGCGTAGCTCCTGCACAATGGGCTTGGCCCCATCCTTGAGGACCTCGGCAGGGTTAGTAACGTTGAAGGCGTAGAAGTCATAGGGCATCCCCTTGAGGCACATGTCCGGCTTCGAACAGCCGTCTTTGGAAGCATCACACCAACCAGATGAGGCCGCAGTTGCAGCATTAGATGGTGTTTTCGACGATAAACACTCATCTCTGGCCTCAGTCGAGTTCATGAGCCAGGCCTGATAGGCCAGTCCAGGGCAAGTAGCATCACCCACGAACATATTAGAGCAATCAGTTGTCTGATAGGTATTATCTATAAAGCGCATACCATCAACACCGCTGGTGTACTGACCCTCATAGGTGGTCTTGACCAAGATAGCAAAGATGATGGCGACAATGCAGATGGCAGCGGACACAGCAGTGAGGATCCAGTAGATCCAAGGGTTGCACTTTATAGGACAGTGCCCATTGCAGTTATACCAACGTGGCTTCATATTGGGAATACTCCCACTAACACTAGAGGAACTGACAAGATAGCACTGCCGTTTCACTGAGTAACCCCCACCGTGTTGAGGGACATAATCTCACCGCAACGTTACCCAATACCACGACAGTGCTACGACGACCTAGTCCTCGAGATCTACACAGACCGGCATTTGGCGATTGCGAGCCCCCGGGATCGAACCCGCGACCATATAGGACATCCTGTAATAGCTGACACAATCGACGACTAACTCAACTGGACTCTGTCCCGGTTTATCACGAATGGCTAGAGAGGAAGTAGCAGGACAGACACGCAGACATCAAGATCGAGTAGAATCACATCGAGTTCTCTACGACGGGCGGAGTAAACGTGAACGCTATTCTTTTTATTATACCACTTGTACGTTGTAGCAACTGGAGAGAAGAAGTGAATAACAGTGAGCACGACTGTGACAAAGCCCGGTAGTGAGCCACTATGGACACGGGCCATACCACGAGGAGATGGAATCTCCGCTCAAGGACCATTCCCGCCAGTTCCAGAAGAGAATTTTCTTTTCTGCTACGCCATTGTGATCGGTTTCACGCCTACCCAAGCCAGGCCATTCCATCTCTCTCGAACCTGGTGGAATGTTCGTAAGGACAGTGACATTGGCGTTTGGGAGATGCTCAGTCAGACGGATGGAGGATAGAACTGGATTTGGGAGTAGCTGTATCGCATGGGTTAACAGTTATTCTACTTTCCTCCTCCTTCCTTCCTCCCAACGTATAATGAGCTCTGCCGAGGATTCCAATGAAGCCGCTATTGAGCAATGGAAGATCCGGAGGTTGATCAAGAGTTTGGAGGCAGCCCGGGGGAACGGTACTATTACTACTACTACCACTATTACTACTACTATTACTACTGCTACTATTATCGCTATCACTATCACTCGAACACCAGCTGTTGGACAGGTACTTCGATGATCTCATTGATCATCCCCCCCAAAACGCAGGTTGCTCAAATGGCGAAGATGCTGGCAGAAGAGTATTACCATTTTCCTCGACAGCTTCGTAATGTCCAACAGGTACGGTACCGCGTCCAACATCAAGTCTCGGGTTAACAGATTGTCTGTTCTTTCGGCGATTACATCCACTCAACAGCGACTCAAATTGTAAGCTGCCATCATCACCACGTAGTAGCCACCACGGCAGGCTTCTCCTAGGTACAATAGGACGCCTCCTAAAGGTTTGGTTCTCTACTGCGGTACTGTCCTCACTGATGATGGCAAGGAAAAGCAAGTTACCATCGATTTCGAGCCCTTCAAGCCGATCAACACCAAGCTGTAGGTTGCCCTCGATTGGCCCCTGATGCTTAGATACCACGCCTCAGGTATTTGTGTGATAATAAGTTCCATACAGAGGATCTGAACCAACTGTTGGAGTCTGATGACAAGTTTGGATTCCTCATTATGGATGGTAATGGAAGTCTCTATGGCACAGTACAGGTAATAGGGATGGACACCAATGGGGTTGAAAAGTACTGCATGCAGGGATCGAACCGGGAGGTACTTTACAAGTTCTCGGTGGACCTTCCTAAGAAGCATGGAAGAGGTGGTCAGTCCTCCATGCGTTTCGCTCGACTAAGGCTCGAGAAGCGACATAACTACCTTACCAAGGTAATCTATATATTTCCCTCCTACCCATAGTGTATCTCCTCCTTCTCATAGGTTGCTGAGCTGTTAACTCAACACTTCATCACCAACGATAGACCCAACATTGCCGGCCTGGTACGCTAGTTGAAGGCTCTGGTCTTGGTCCGAATGAGTGCGTGTCGCAGGTCTTGGCAGGATCTGCCGAGTTCAAGAACGACTTGGCCAATTCGCAGTTTTTCGACCCCCGTTTGGCCGCCATCCTCATTAAAGTGGTGGATGTGAGGTAATGCCCCCACAAGGGATGGTGTGATGCCGTCATTCTGAACGCTTGCCCAACAGCTATGGTGGAGAGAACGGCTTTAACCAGGCGATTGAGCTCGCCTCTGACACCTTGAAGAACGTCAAATTCATCCAGGAGAAGAAGCTTATTACCAAGTACGGCGGCAGACCACGCGAAAATGCCGAAATTGTTACTGACTTAGGTACTTCGAGGAGGTTGCTCAGGACACGGGAAAGGTCTGTTTTGGTATTGATGACACTCTCAAGGTGGGAGGGGGCGCATTGTCGGGATGCCTTTGTGAATATATCTTTGGCAGTGCTTGGACATGGGCGCTGTTGAGACCCTCATCGTATTCGAGAACCTCGCCATCAATCGTTATCATATTCGTAACCCCCATACCGACACTGAAGATGTCCTCTACCTCACACCTGAACAGTAAGTCACTTCTTCCGGCACTAGAAGTATGTGAGCCGCTTCCAGGGAAGTACAAGAGAGTTATTTCCGCGATTCCGATACTGGGGTGGAGCTCATTGTGATCGAGAAGATGCCCATCACTGAGTGGTTGGTCAACAACTACAAGAACTTCGGAGTAATGCCATACCACACTGCTCTCTAATCATGAACCTTGGTTAGGCCAAATTGGAGTTTGTCACCGACAAGAGTGAGGAGGGAGCACAATTCGTCCGTGGATTCGGTGGTATTGGTGGTCTCTTGCGGTGAGTGATGGTCCCACTGGAATCGAGAAGATGTTGATTGCGATGGGTCAGTTACTCTGTTCAACTGGAAGACCTCGAAGAGTGGGAGGGTGACTCTGATGATGACTTCATGTAAATAGTGTCGTAATCAGCGTCACCATTTGCGGTATAACGAGCTGTTGATGACTGGTCCATTGGCGTTGTTGCAGTCAGCGACCTCTCCCTGGTGAGGATGACGATGAAGCCTAAGTACTGTGTATTACTTGTCGTGCTTGTAAATTTGTGGGAGAGAATATTGATGGCTTCTAGTACTAACACGAGTTTGTTCTTGTGTGATTAAGGGGAGTAGGCCACCGCCACAATGGGTGATATGTAACCATTAACCTTCAGTCAGTATGCAGCAAGGGTTCTTTCGAGGTGAGAGTCTTCTTTCGATACAGTGATGTCGTTACTTGTTGAACTAGAACATCGTCCAAGAAGGAATCTTGCTCTCTTGCATTTCCTCAACGCCATTAAAATGCGGTCGTTGTTGACAGTAGTTCGAGGACGTTGTTGTTGTTGACGATGATCATTATTATTATTGTCATCACTATCATCTATAGCTGGCTATTTTCTGTCCCATGGAGCCACAACAACAGCAACATCAGCAACAACAGTCTTCTCTCGAGGCTAGTTACCCTAGGGGGGAAAAGCGGTCTGCAGGTGGTGATGGCACTTATTGGGGAGAAACTAAAGAAGGGCGGCAGGGCGATGAGTCCTCCTCCCGACCGGCTAAGATGAGTAACTGGGATACTGCACCTTCTGGCAATACCAATACCACAACTGGAGGAGATGATGATGGCAAGTACGAACAGGGAAGGGAAAAACTCCGACCATTGTGAAACGCTATAGGCCTTGATTCCCTTCTGAGTAGCGCGAATGATACCATAAGGACTATAATAAACTTTCTCATCAATACTACTACATCCTTCAGATTCCATAAGGATGTCCCTTTACCTCATTGGGCGGCTGGTAAGGTTATAGGAAAGCAGGGTGATACCATAAAACGGATACAACGTCAAACTCATTGTGAAATCAAGGTGCTTAACAACAACCCCACTCTTATTCTCTCTCTATCATCTCTCCTTCTTAGTCTGATAACGGTGAACGCGACACTGAGGGAAACAGGAGCCTCCACCTCGTCGGCGATACACAGGCAACTCTCAATGTAATAACGCTCGAACATCATCTCATCTCTATTGTTACGTACATGGGCAGGCGTGTGCAGCAGCCATTGAAGAGATCATATTCACGTGCCGCAAGCCTATCGTTGGTCCAGGGGACTCGAAAAAGGAAGTAGTCATATCGAATGACATAGCAGCTAAGGTCCTCAACTCCTTCTCTCGCCTTTGAAAATGAGGCTGAAATCAGGTCATTGGTTACAGAGGATGCGTGATTGACGAGATCAAACGACGGTCACATACTCGTATCGAGGTGGTCCCTACAGAGGATGGTGGACCTGGGGAGGAGAGGACAGTCGTGCTAGTTGGGCTGAGGAAACTGCGAGAAAGGGGTAGGGGTGTGTTGATATACCGGAGGTATCTGGTTCGAATCTAGGAAGTGTCGTTTTTATAGGCACGTATAGTACGCGAAATCGTGAGCGGTGAGCTCGACG